TGTGCTCAAGCTGGTTATATATGAGCACCATCCCCCCCCAAAAAAAATACGTGTTTGGGGCTTTGTAGCATTAAAACATAGGAAGTGGCCTAATATAAAGTCGGAGCTAGTGGTGGGTGGAGCCTATTAGGACTGGTTGGGAGGAAGGGAGCCCGTCAGTAGGTGGCGCTAGAGCCATTGAGAGGCAATAGCTTTGTCTCTATCCTCCCTGCTGATTTCTGAATAGGGGAAATTGAGACCCAGGAGGAGGAAGCTGGCAGGCAGGCAGGACCATTCCCTGGGCTGGTTGCAGCAGACCCTTGGGTCTATCTCACTCAGTATTCTCTACTTGTAGAATCATAGAACTGTAGGACCGGAAGGGACCCCACGGGCCATCTAATCCAACCTTCTGCAGTGCAGGAATCTCAGCCAAAGCATCCATGACAAATGGCCATCCAACCTCTGCTTTAAAACCGCCGATGAAGGAGAGTCCGCTGGCTTCCGAGGGAGTCCGTTCCCACTGTCAAACATCTCTTACCATCACAACGTTATTCCTAAGGTTCCAGGCATGGCCAAACTTGGCCCTCCAGATGTTTTGGGACTACAACTCCCATCATCCCTAGCTAACAGGACCAGTGGTCAGGGATGATGGGAACTGTAATCCCAAAACATCTGGAGGGCCAAGTTTGGCCATGCCTTTAGGCAGAATTTCCTTTCTTGCGATTTGGATCCGTTGCTTCGTGTCCTTCCCTCCGGAGCAGCGGAAAAGAAGATGGGCAGCCTCTCCCAAGAGTTTCAGGCCAAGTCTTTGTTTCCCAGTCCTCCCTGGAGATAGGAGGGGTTGAACCCGGGACCTTTTTTGCATGCAGTGAGGGGGCTCCTCCTCGCCTGACCCAGTTCGTATGTGCAGCCCAGGGTAGGGCTTCTGGGTCAAAGGCTTGGAGAGGCTTGAACCACAGCACCCAACTTTAGTCCCTGGCATCTCCCTGCAGGTCTTTGAAAGGATCCTGCTTGACAGCCGCTGCCAGTCAGTGCAGTCAATATTGAGCCCACTGGAGAAGGTCAGGAAAAAAAGATGAAAGAAGTGGCAGGGTGACAGAAATAGGATGATGCCGTCCTGTGGAAAGTGAGTGAACAAATAATACCCATTCTGCCTTAAATGTCTAGAGTGAATTCCTCCTAAGTGTGATGTAAAGGTAAAGGTACCCCTGCCCGTACGGGCCAGTCTTGACAGACTCTGGGGTTGTGCTCCCATCTCACTCTAGAGGCCGGGAGCCAGCGCTGTCCGCAGACACTTCCGGGTCACGTGGCCAGCGTGACATCGCTGCTCTGGCGAGCCAGAGCTGCACACGGAACGCCGTTTACCTTCCCGCCAGTAAGCGGTCCCTATTTATCTACTTGCACCTGGGGGTGCTTTCAAACTGCTAGGTTGGCAGGCGCTGGGACCGAGCAGCGGGAGCACACCCCGCCACGGGGATTCGAACCGCCGACCTTTTGATCGGCAAGCCCTAGGCGCTGAGGCTTTTACCCACAGCGCCACCCACGTCCCTATAAGTGTGATGTACCATGCAGCAAAGACCCCAACTTCTCTGATGGGGTTTGAATTGGTGGTAACTAGCCAGGAAAGAGATTTTGGAGTCATGATAGACTGGACATATTGAACATTGACTCAGTGTGCACAGATTTGATAGGAATAGGATAAAATAGACACCTGCCAGTATTGCAATGGCATTATAGAAATATATGGTATGATCCTATTTAGGACAGATTGGAGGTGAATAAAAATAAAAATAAAAAGTATTTGTGGGGCTCATTCTTGAAAGTCTCAAGGTGCAAGTTAAATCTCAGGGCCATCAGCTACTGTGGTACACCTGCTAAGTCAGTGGCTCCGTCTGAGTGCATAAGTGTGTTAGCTGAGATCACCTGATAGGTGACTATTGCACCTATAACTTGCACCTACAGCCCAGTTACATAAAAAAAAAATATGCGGGTAATTATTGCAAATATAACTTGCACATGCAGCTTAAGCCGATATATAGGTACAGAAATGACTTTTGCACCATGTGAAAGATGAAAGATCACTTAAAATGTGGAAATGATCAGATAGGGAAACATTGGGGGAAAGGAATAAAAAGTTGTCTGAATGCAGCCAGAATATGCACCATACATCCATTCAAAGCACATCCCTCACCTCCCTGAATCCTGAGGACTGTCGTTTATCCCCCACAGAGCTACAATTCCCAGCACTCTTAACAAAGTACAGTTCTCATAATTATTTTGTGGGGAATGTGCTTTAAATGTGTGCAGGCGCAGCCTTAGATTCCTCGTGGGTTAAGCACCCAGGAGGCTCAGTTGCTCCTGCAGGAGTAGATGCCTTTCCATCGCAGACAGCCGCTACTTCCTCTCATCCAGGGCTCTGACACCCTTGCCTTCATCCACAGACTCTCTCTCTGCTCTCCCAAGTCCTTCCCACTCAAGCTCAGGGCTGCGTCAGGAGGGGATCCCAGCCGTAGAGCTGTGGAAAGGACCCATCTTGAGGAAACAGGATGCTGGCAGAAAAACCCCCACAGTGAAAAGCCGGGGACTCCCAGGGCCTATTTATAACACTGTGCATCTAAAAGAACGTTGAAAGAACACAGTGGATTCATATCCTATATCCTTTCCTCCTTTCCATTTTTTAAAAGCTTTCCCCTTCCCTTGTTTTCCCCCTTCTCTTTCTCTCCTTTCTCTCTTTCTCTTTCATTCCTGACTTTCCCCCTTTGAATCCAGGGCTGCGGCAATGGAAGAAACAAGACCCTTTTGGGGTGTTAATGCTGTGAACCCCTCCATTGTAGGCTCAGGTTGTATATATGTGTAAAGAAAACCATATATCATAAAGACACCACAGTCTCCACTATCCCTCATTCCAAAGTAAACACGAACCCTGGGTAAGCATCTGCAACCCCTGGAATTTCGCACCACTTGGGGATTGGGGTGGCATGCAACAATACTAATGGCAAACTCCTTCTCCAGGTGTGGGTCTCAAGCAGGCTTGGGAGAACACCAAAGTTTGCAGAAGGACAACCCCCTCTCCTTGAGATGGGGAACCCCCTTCTAAGGGGACGACTCAAAAGCCCAGTGAGAGGGCTGAGTCCTCTTACTGGGCACAGAATGGTGGTTGAGGGAGCGGGTAGAGGATGGGGAATTGGGGGAAGGGATGGAATGGAGTAACCTGGAGGAGGCATGGCTGGCTGAAACCCCAAACAATAGCACTTCACGTGGCCACATTTTGTTGCTGGTCCCCATTGTTGTACCTCCTTAGACATTTGTCCACCTGACATTGCCCTATTGGTTTGGAAGCAAAATGAGGCCAACCCCAGAACAAGGCAGCTGTTTACTTTCTGGGTATATACATTAGCAAATTAAAGGAAGAATGAAGAGCCCCCCCCAACAGCCTAGTAAAGCCTAAGTGTGCTTTATTCATGATCCTCATGCGATATACTTTACAGTGGCCCTAAAGCCACTGGTTATCATCCCACTTGTTGATACTTAGCCCTTAAGGCTCTTGGAGAGATCCAGGCTGCCATGGAGATGAAGTCACCTCATACAGCAGGGGAGGGGAACCTTAGGCCCAGAGGTGGGGGTGCTGAATGTGACCCTCCAGTCCTCTCTGTCTGGCCATCAGGGTTTTCCCTGGGTCACAGTCCTTCCCCAGGTCACATGACTCACTGATCAAGCTCCACACACCCTTTGTGAGTTTTGGCCTGGCTGTAATGTGTTCTTAAATTTGCACTGATTCCTCTTGCCTGCCTGGATGGATGGATGGAGTGTCAAATGGAGTATGTGCGTGCATGTGTGTTTGTGTAGAGAGAAGGTAGTCTACTGTGCCCTGGTAGAGTTCATGTTTGCTGCTCTGCCATATTTTGCCTCTGGTGCTTCCCATTGGCATATGGCCACACAAAAGGAATTGGGCTGGAAAAGGTTCCCCAGCCCTGCCATACAGATTTCAAGGGATCCAGCATTTTTCCACCCAGGGCTGCTAACCCGAGCCAACAGCTCCTGTTTTGCAGCCAAAAAATGTCAAGCGAGTGGAGTTTCCTAAGTTATCCGCAAGTGACCGTGGCTCTCTAAGGAACCCTGCCCTCCAGACAGCTCTGCAGTTGAGAAGTAATGCCCCTTGTCACTCCTGGGAAATGATCTACTGGTAAGTGATCACTACTGTGATCACTTATCCTGGGAAGGGAAGGAGCCAGTGGGTCTTTGATCTTGCTGATACTTATGAAATTTCTTTCAGGTCATTTCAGCCTCTGATTAAACATGCACCCTCCACCTCCACCCTTCCAGACACACTATACATTGAACATGTAAAAATCCAACAGAGTTTGAAAGAACTTTTCAGGAGTTGTTGTCTCTGGTTAACTGGATTGCATAAACAGGCTGTCTGCATTGCAGAAAGCTATCATTGCATAACAGTGAAAATCCTGTTTCCTGGAGCCACCATGACTGAGCCTGTTTCAGTTGTGCTTTCCTCTCTCTTTTTTAAACAAAAAGCACTGAATCGAAGAAGATTTAAACAAAACACACAAACACAGGGACCCCTTCGAGACGTGGCCCCAATGGGTTTTCTTCCTGAAGCAGAGGATCCAGCCCCAAGGAAGGACAGCTTGCAAGCGCTATCCCTGAGCAGAACAGGTGAAAAAGCATCCAGGCTAGAAAGAGTTACTCTCTGCCCACCATATCAGCTTCTTTTCCTTATATGGAGTGAGAGATTATGCAAAAGAAAGGTACCTAATTTAGGTTACCTCTTGGGGTGGGGGAAGAAAAGAAAGAAAGAAAAAGAACCACCCCAAAATGGGAGACAGAGAGCTGTCACTTTTCAGTCCGTTGCTCAGGCAACCATGAAGCAAAAAAAAGGCACCACTCTCTTTTCTTTCTCGAAGTCTATTTTTGGCCTTCATATAAGAAGGTGTTATTTAAGACCTGACTTATTTATTTGTTGAGGAAGTTTTTTATAACAAAAAAGAAAAGGAAAAGAAACTCACCCACTAGTGATTGCTGTATGGGAGAGAAGCCAGAATTCCTGGAGAGAAATCCTATATAAAGGTGTGCTTAGCACAAGGTTTCTTTACTAAAAAGAAAATGGGAAAGAAAACCAAAACGAAACAGTGAGAATTATGTTAGGCAAAGAAAAAAAAGTCAGGGGGAGCAAGAAAAGAAAAGAAAAACAGCTTGAAATGATTCCCCCACAGATCAATGTTTGTATTATTATTGTCATTATAATTAGTAAAAGACCACATAAGGTACATTTTCTTAAAGACACTAAAACGAAATGTACACTCAGAGAAATAAGCGCGTGCACACACACACACACACACACACACACACACACACACAGATGAAAGACAATCAGGCTGAGAGCCCAACCCAAACACACCTTTTTGAACTTGCTTTTCATGCAATTCAGGTCTAAGCCCACGATTTTGACCTGACTTTTTCTCCCTGGTTTTCTGTTTTAGATCAGCAGTGAAGAGATTGGAAAGGTACATTGAGGGTTTTTTTGTGCATGTGTGAAAAGGGAAAGGTGGAAGAAAGGATGAACAAATCAATGAATGAGTGAGTGGGGAAAGAATACATAGCAAATGGTTTTGAGAAAGGAAACCCAGAAAGAAACACAAAGGGAAGGAAAAAATATGGAAGGGAAGTTTCGAAAGCCAGAATAAAATGAAAGCCTGTGAAAGAGTTGAGACAGCAAGTCCTTTTCGTGAGAAGGGAAGAAAGAAAAGCGAGACTCCAGCGCCAGAGTGAATATCTAAGTCTGAGCTGGAGGGAAGGGAGGAACAGAGGAGAGAAGGCGTTGGGCTCAGACGCTGCCGAGGTGTGATTCCAACAGAAACGTCTCTGCTTCATCTCCTAATTCGGTGCAGCGTTTCTTTGGCTGCCTCCCCCACTCCCCCCCTTCCTCACCGCGTCATTCAGGAGCCAGTGACGTAGGGTTCCCCCAAGCCCAAGAAAGGGAGGGGGAGGACTCTGCAGCCGTGTCCCTCCATTGATCTGAACAAATCTTCCCGCCCCACTTTCCTTAGCATGCCAGTGCCCACACTCCCGACAGCCTATAAAAGATGAGAGGCAGGCAGTGGTTCTCAAACAGATCCACAGGCAGACACCGGAGAGACAGAGAGAGAGAGAGACCAGAGAAGAGGAGGAGAGGAGACGGAGGAGCGCTAGCCGCAAGGATCTTCGGCAGCCGAGATGTATCGGTCCACGAAGGGAGCCTCCAAGGCGCGGCGGGACCAGATCAATGCGGAGATCAGGAACCTGAAAGACCTGTTGCCCATCGCGGAAGGGGATAAGCTGCGGCTATCGTACCTCCACATCATGTCCTTGGCGTGCATCTACACGCGGAAATCCATATTCTTCTCCAAAGGTAACTAACTGCCTGACAGATTCAGAAAGATCCCGAGGTTCGGGGGGAATTCAGGAAGTGCAAAGATGCGGGGTGGGTGCGGGGACACCTGAAGTTGGGTCTTGGGTCCAGCGTCTTTCCTTCGTCCCCCTTCGGGATGGTAGGACTCAACAGGTCTCTCTCCGTGGTGCTGAAGCACCAATGTCTCTTATGAGAAGAGATACGGGGAGCTGCTGTCCCTGGTCCTGAAACAGCCGGGGCGAGCTTTGCGGAGGCAAGGCAGCAACAGTTGCTGTCCCCGGTGCTGAAATCCTAGCCTCAGCCGCAGCTAAAAATCTGATGCAAAGAGCTAAAAGGGTTGTCGCTGTTGTTTAAATAAAAATTATGTGTGTGCTTACCAAAATAACCGATTTTCCCTTCTCTTCTTCCTCAACAGGAACAACTCTAGAAGGCTTGGAGAGCTTGCTTTCTTCCCAGGACTTGGAAGATTTTATGCAGACGCTTCCAGGCTTCCTTCTGGCATTCACTGGAGAAGGCAAACTCATCTATGTGTCGGAGAATGTTGCTGAACATCTGGGGCACTCTATGGTATGTATCTGACCAGCTTGTGGGTGGAAAGGGAAATGCCTTTGCTGTAAAATGAGGAGATTGAATAATCCTTGGAATAGGTACTTAGTTAAGCAACAATCATTTAGTTACATAAATTCCTTTTAATTCCTTCAGGTCTTGGTAGCCCTAAAATTACTCTTATGCCCTTTATAGTATAAACTGATAATTTCTAGCCTTCATAATTATTCCCCGATGTGATGGTATCACTTATTTATCTGACCATGAATATCTGTTGGACACTGGGAACTTTGTGGTGCTAGCAGCATTTTATAGTGCTTAATATGAAACCGGATATCTAAACCTCATCTGATTCTCTATCCTGCAGGTGGATTTGGTTGCCCAAGGAGACAGCATCTATGACATCATTGATCCAGCAGATCACTTTGTGATGAGGAACCAGCTGGCATTGACCTCTCCAATAGATACAAGTAGGTATCCCTTTGTGAAACTGTGCTCAGTGACATGTGAGGAGGAGGAAATGTAGCTGTGCAATGACTCTAAAGTAGAGAGACGGCAGATTAAAAGTTGGCCTGCAAGTCCTAGAATAGATGATGCCCAGCAGGACTTAATTCAAGCAAGAAACCTTCTTTTCATAATATTCACTTAGCCCTAGAGCACGTGAAAGAATAGCAGAAGTGAGAGCGCCTTTGAGCATATAGTAGCTGAGCAAGCACCTGCACTTTGGGTCTTAGAGGAGGGATAGGGAACCTGTAAGCCCCACCCCCAAATGCTGCTGGACTCAAACTCCCATAAGCCTCAAGAAGCATGGCCAATGGTGAGAATGATGGGAGTTGTAGTTCATCAAGAACTGGAGGGCTACAGGTTGCCCATCCCTGGCTCAGGGCTTGATCCAGAAATGTTCAGACCCCATTGCTTCCCCCTCAAAAGTTCAACATTGAAGCCTAGAAATGCAATGCCATGTAGAAATGACAATAACTTGCCTGGACCTCAGAGCCAATGAGAGTAGAACTGTCTCATGTTTTAGGCTTGAGAGTGGCTTAACAGTGTGACTATGCCAACTGGGGGATATTTCTGTGGCTCCTCTAACTCATCAATGCTCTTTTCTTTACTTTTTACAAAAACTCCAGGCCGACTTTTCCGCTGCCATTTCAACACATCCAAGACAATCCGGCGGCAAAGTTCCGGGAACAAGCTGGTCCTTATCCGAGGGAGGTTCCACCAGCCCCCACCTGGCTCTTACTGGTCCACTAATCCTGTATTCACTGCTTTCTGCACTCCTCTGGACCCCAAGCCCAGAATCAGCCAGAATTCTTTCTTCTTGACTTATTTTGAGAGTCGCCACACAAAAGACTTGGCCATTGTGGACATCTCTGAAAGGTGAGCACGTGTTCTGGGAATAGGGAATCTTGGGACCTTGGAGGGGATTGGAAAAGTTTGAGGAAGGGCCTTTAATTGACTAGTGAGAGCCACAATGTTGACAATGGGAGCTGCCTGTCTAGCAAGGGGGTGTGTGTGAACTGTTTTAGTTGAGCAATATAAACCATTACAATCCAAAGTGCTCATCTCTCTCTTCCCAACTTTGCTGTTTTCTAGTGTGATCTTCCATTTGGGCTTTGAGAAAAGTGAGCTGTTTTGCAAGTCATGGTATAGCCTGATTCATCCAGAAGATCTCAGCCATGCGTCAACCCAGCATTACAGGCTGTGTAAGTATCTTGTCCCTTCTATTGCCCAAGTTTCCCACGACATTTGCTGATTTGCAGAGCTGTTTCCTTGGATGGGACCATTGATCTAATCTTTTCTGATGTGCTCCTTTTCCCCAGTGGGTGACACAAGTGAAACTCAAGCTGAAATGGTCGTTCGGCTCCAAACCAAAGATGGCAAGGATTGGATATGGACCTATTCACTGCTCCATATGGAGAATGCTGATGTTCCTATCACTTCCCACAACTATATAATCAGGTAAATACCAAGAGACTTGTCTCCGGCTGTAGGTGGGTGGCTCTGAGACCTACCTTGCTTCGTAATCAATTTAGTAGTGGGTAGAAATGTTGAGACTTCCCTTCCATCACTTCTTGCCTTCTGTAGGCCACAAGCAGGAGTGTTCATGTGCCATCTAAGGGGCAACTTTTGGTCCTCGAGGAAGCACAGGCGGGGAGGGGGATGTGCCTAGGATTGTTAAAAGACTTTACTAAGCCCAGCAAGTTGGGAATAAGAAAGGCCACAACAGTGCAAGGTGTATTCAGCACTGCCACTGCTTCTCTGATGGACGGTGCCTCATGGTCGATCTGTTTGTGTCCCTTAATGGCACCCAATGAATTTGCCTTTATATTTTTTTTAAAGGCCATCTATTTAAATGACTGGCCCTACATTACTCAGCACCATTAATTTTAATAGGTAGGCTCTGAGTATGGCGAACATTGGGTACAAGCCATGGAAGTTGCTTCTGGGTGAATAGTAACAAAAATAAGCCACAGGAGTAGAATAAATAAAATGTGCTCAGGATCAAGCAGCAAAACAGGATCAGAAGGAATTGGTGGCTGGGAATAAGGCCTTTGTTTTTAAAAGGTTATTGTCACTTGTACGTTAGGAATTCATTGGGTTTCAGAAGCAGAAAAGCAAGAAAGAAAAGAGAGACAGGGGTGAATGTGTCAAGTGCAGTTATTTGCAGTTATCTCTGCTTTGTTGAAGCTGGGGTCCCCTTGGGTGCTCATCTCACTTCCCCTTCCTTTGCTTTACACAGTGATTCTGAAGCCTGGTCTCTCAAGCAGCAGCTCTCAGCAGAAGAAACCCAGGTGGCCTATGTCCTCGGAAGTGCACCAGCTTTCCTGGAAGGCCTCCTCTCTCCGGGGCAACTTTCCAGCCCTGACCAAGTCTTCACACCTGTAGCTGGCACCCCGACCAGCACCATTGTTGCGCCGTCATTTGACTTCGGCACCACTGGTGGAGCAGAATGCCCCTCTGCCTTCACAGAGACCAGCGCATCCAGTCTGCCCCAGGAGGTGGCGGAGCCTAGAAATATCTCCTCCGTGGAGGAGCCCACCCCAGGCTCCAGCCTCAGCCTACTCGACAAAGGCCCAGCATTCAGCTACGTGGTCTTCCCGACAGACTACGAACAGACCTTAAGACGAGACAACCTTAGCGGCTCCTCCTCCAAAGACTTTGTCTGCACCCCTCCATATACCCCACACCAGGGCTGTGCCTTTCTCTTTGGAGCCCAGGAGACTTACGCTCCAAGCGCCATCCCTACTGCCTTGCCTCCTGTGACCACTACCCCGCCCGCTGCCGCTCCTGCCACTACTGTTCCTACCACCACCACCTCTGAGCTGTTCTACACCCAGGACCAATGCAGTGCTCTCTATGAGAAGCTACCACCTACCCCGGACAGCCCTGGTAATGGGGACTGTACCGTCATGACCTTGCCTGAGATCAGAGGTCCCCTCTATATCGATGTGCCCATGGTGCCCGAGGGGATCCTGACTCCAGAGGCCTCGCCCATCAAACAGACATTCTTCAGATATTCTGAAAAAGAGAAGGGTGAGATTGAATTGCTAGCAAAGCAGATCAGCAGCCTGGCTGAGGCTTTCAGCTCTGTTGCTCCCAGAGAGCTCGTCAAGAGCAGCCATGCCACCCTCGGCGATTCTGCACTGGGCGCCGGCCCCGAACTGTGCCTGGACTTCCAGCCTTCCAAGAACTGGAGGAGCATTGACTTCTCCTTGTTGGCCTGCCCAGAGGAAGACCTCTTAGAAGAGGATGCTCTCGAGACCCTTCTCCAAGACCTGTCCACCTCTCTGTTTGAGAAAGGTGGGGCGGGTGTGAGGTGCCCTCACCACCAGTTCTGCGGTGGGAATGTCAGTAGTCCAATCAGCTTGGACACCGAAGATAGTAACCAAGGGGCCTTGGCTGCCTCTCCCAGCATGGACCTACCTCCAGAAGAGCGATGCTTTTTGGAAGAACTG